GATGACATATTGGATCAACTAGCATGCTTTTCCCCTCTCTATTAGACACTAAATAATTCTCATGACATGTAAAATGCTTTATTAATTTCAAACACTTTCTAAAATTTCCATTTAGTTTTGCTCCCACTGTTAATCTATTTATTCCCCAAACTTTTGATGCTTGTTACACAAATGTTCCTCAACTTTCAATGGGGTTACATCCCAGTGAATCCATCAAAATTGAGAATGCATTTAATCCACCCACCCCACTGACCATCCTGGTTTAGTAACAGAGTCCACTGTGGAAGACCTGCTGTTGATCTCAGGCTGACTGGAAACTACAGCTCACTGCTGCTGCCTGGCATCAGGAGAGGGCATTGACATTGCATCTCTATGCCCAGCCCAGGAGAGATAAAAATTGGAAGTACGGGTTCTACTGAATGGGTGTCACTATCATTCCTTCATAAAGTTGAGGACTATCCATATTTGCCTTGTAGTTAAACAGTTTAAGCAAATCCTACACAAACTAATGAAATAGAAATGCAAATAACAGAGCTGTTTCTATGAACACAGTTTAGAACATTTAAGAAAGAGAATAAAGATGATTGTTTTTAAAAAAATGCCCATAGAGCCACTGTGAGCAAAGTAACTTCAAGGGGCTAGGAAATATTGTAAAAATCTAGAAGGACCTTACATTTAAGCTACTTTGTGTATTGCTTCTCATCAGAGAAGCCCAAATTAGAAATTTTAAACCAAGCACTATGAGTATAGTTTCTGTAAGAAAGAGACTTCCCACTCAGAGGGAAAGCCTCGTGCTCTCTGGTCACGAATTTACAGGCTTTCAAACTGTTTAATGTACATGTGTGTCCGTATCTGTGACCTCTGCCATAGATGATCAGCTTTGAGTTCCAGTGGAGTTTAATAAGAAAGCTTCATTGTCCAGTCACAAGTGAGCAAGTTAAATTAAGTATGACAGTAACTGTAACAGGGGTGAAGAGATTGTCTTTTCCTTATTTGTATTAGCTGCAAGAATCAGGTGTTACTGCAAATTTTCTGAAATAGCAAAAGCATTCTTATAGCTTTTGACCCAACCAAGACCTGACTTTCCTCCCTGGGCTGCCCATTGTCAAAGACATAGTGTATTTCATTCTGGCAAGCTCTGCACCCACAGATGATGCTTGCCTTGAATTGTTTTTGACTGATAGTGAAAGGAGTCTCCATCTGAGGCTGCCTTGGGGTGAAGGGTGAGCCCCAGGGCTGCCCAGCCATTCCTGAAGCTGGCTCCCCTCTTCCAGGGCTCTCCAAAGACAGCCAGCCAGGAAGGGGTGGCTGCAAGGTACCTGCTGGGTTCTGAGAACTGCTATTTTTCTCTCTCCTCCCACACTAAGTGAAAAAAAAAAACCTGGGAGAAAGAGGGTGAAGGTAAAGAGAGGTTTCTGGAAACAGTTCCAGAGGGTATCTAGTCTCGTAGGCATCAGGTCAACTAAGGGAAGGAGCCTTCCCCCTTGGTAACCCCAGGGTCTCTGTAGGAAGCCGTGCAAGGAAAGGAGGCCCCCAGCAGGCTCCAGTCCCACATTCCCCAGCCCTCTGCTGTGTCCTGGATCCCCCAAGCAGGCTGAGGTCAGAAAGACCAGAGAGCCCTGGTGCCCGGCCTTGAGGTGCTGCTTAGGAGTTGTGTATCCACAAGCTGGTTAATTACACCGGGCCTCTGTCTCCCTCTGCGAGATGTGGACAATGACCTCTGACCCACAGAGGCACCACAAGAGGTAAATGAGATGGTCGTGTCCAGATGGCGCAGTAGGTGTTGGATGAAGGTTAGCTTCCTCTCTTGCCTTTTTGAAGGTTCCTGCTTGTTTGTGACCCATCTCCTCTTTCCAGTCTCTCCTCCATCCAGACTGCAATCTCCCTGCCTCTCCTTCCAAGAAGCACCAGGCCTTGTGCACGTCTCTGCTGTCACAGTCAGCTGGGTTTATCTGGGTTACCTGGGTATTGTTATTGAACTTGTCTGGATCTCCTTTGCCCCTTATATAAAGTGAACACTAGAGAGATTCTACTTGGGGTGGTGGCTTTGAAGAAATTCATGTAAAGTAACTGAAGAGTGTCAGGAACTTGTGGAATCACTGAGTGTGTGTGTGCACACATCCATGCACTTCTGTTTGCACATCCACCTTCTACTTTCGCTTTTTGCCATTTTTACCTGTGCCTATTGAGTCCTTGAGCCTACGTGGAGTCCTTTTATTTCTATAGATGTGAGACTTTCTCCTCTCTTGCCTAGAATAGGTTGCCTGCAATGTACTTACTGAAGTAATTATTTTATAAAAAAAGACCTTAGGGAGATACCCAGTTCTGTTTTCTTAGAGTCAAAAGCCCTTCTTACCCACTCCCTGCAGGCAATGCCCTGCTCCCTGTAATGCACACTCTCAAGAAGGGACAGGGTGTGAAAACGTCCTTTGCCTATGTGCATTACTGTTTTAGCTGAACCATAATTTCAACTGCAGAGCAGACAATAGGCAGAGAAAAAGCCCAGGGTGTTAAAACAATCACTTAGGTGTAACTGCAGGCAGCCAGGGCCTCTAGATTCTGGGCTGAAGGACAGAGTTTGAGAATTAACTTTCTTATGCATATGCTTGTGATAATTTTCTGAGAGGTAATCTTTAGCCAGTTCTTTCATATATGTCTGGGCTCCTTAGTCGTGGACACCTCCAGGGCAAAGGCCACAGAGTAGTTACGGTTTCTGCCACACCTTGCTAGCCTCACAGTAGTCTTGGGATCCACCCATTCATTCACTCATTCAGCACTCTTCTGGGTCCATACTGTGGGCAAGCATTGTTTTGGTTGCTGGGATCCAGCAGCTAACGCATGGGCAAGCTGGCTCCCCTGTAGAGCTTGTATCCTGCGGGCAGAGGGCAGGCAGATACACTGAGCAGGTCAGTATGTCGGAGCCCCTCTCTGAATTGCCGACCAGCGCGCTAAGAGCTGGGGCCAGTGACGCTGGCAGGCTGTGGGAAAGTTCATGATGGGGAGTGAAAAGAGGACAGGGAGCTACTCAAACAAGGTCCGGCTGGCTGCTGTGCAGGGAAGGCCACAAGAGAGCAAGGTGGCCTCAGGGACCCCAGGAAGGAGACCGGGATGGATGGACACCAGGACGAATGTAAGGACATGGAGCCTGTTTTAGAATGGGGTTCTCAACAGAGCACCCCCAACATTCTGGGCAGGAAACGTTTTCTTGTGGGGACAGTTCTGTGTCATACGGGCTGTTTAGCAGCATCCCCAGCCCCTGCCCACTTGATGCCAGTGCAAAATGGCTCCCAGTCAAGAGCCCCGGCTGAGGGTGGACATGATGGTACCTCTGGATGGGCTGGGAGTTAGCAGGAGTTGGGAGCAGAGACCACTCCTGGACAGAAGGGCTAGCTTTTGCTCTTGGGTGGCCCGTGAGACCCCTGGGAGGACAGCTGTCCACACCTTGTCCTCGGAATGTCCCCTTGGTCTCTCCGGAACTGGGCAGACCGGTTATCTCTCATCTCGCCTGTGCCTCCGGGAGTAAAGCTTGGCCGATCAACTCAGCCCCCAGCCACTGGCTGCTTCTGAGGATGCTGCTTTGTGCAGGATGAGCCTCTGCTCTCCTCTGCATTGAGTAAAAACAAAATCCAGCAGCACACTGGCGGAAGTGGGATGTGTTAAAAAGTCATTGTAAGCCGCTCTTTGTGCTGCCACAACATGAGGAGTCAACACAAATCGTGTGTACATTGTACATGTAAAACCAGTCAGCCCAGAGCAAAGTTCAAGGCCAACTCAGGAGCCAGAGACAATATTTCTTGAAGGAGCCTGACAGTGTCTCTGTTTTTCCTCAAAACACCCTGTCCCTGACAGCTGAAAGACTCTGGACTTCCAGAAGTTAAGTGTGACTGCAGCATCTTAGGGACAGAAGATTAACTAGTGGATGCTAACGCTTGGGTGATCTACTTAGTGGGCTGGGAGGAGGGCCTCCGGGGATGGGAATACAGCTCAGGTAAGCTTGGATGTAGGGGGTTGGCTGTGAACGGGGAAGGAGTGGGTGGTAGGGGGATAAAGCCCTGAGCGTGATGGGAGAGCACCCCCGGGAGAGGAGGTAAGGAAACACAGACTTAGCCAAGGCCGACCCTTTTAGAAGTTGTGTTGTGGTTTTTCTTTTTTTGGTATCGGGGATCAAACTCAGGTCCTTGTGCTTGCTAGGCAGGCGATGGAACCACTGGGCTACATTCCCAGCCCAAAATTGTGTTACTTTAAAAATTACCTTTGAAGGGCTGGGGGTTTAGCTCAGTGGTTCCACCACCTGCCTGTAAGTGCAAGGTCGCGAGTTTGATCCCCGGTGCCAAAAAAAAAAAAAAAAAGAAAATTACTTTTGAGATCAATCCCTCATTAGTGTTAAGTTTTAAAGCACCGGGCATCGTTGAGTATTCATTTGAAAAATTCCCTGTTTTAATCCATGAATCAATATGGGATGAGGGCTTTTGATACTAAAAGTGGGGATGGCCCTGAAACCAACTCTTTGGCTCCGTCAACAGGATGTGTGAGACATACCTATTTCTGGAGAAGAAGTCCTGAGATTTGGGCTGACTTCCTTCTGGAATTCTGTTCCTATGGAAAGGGATCATCCATACTTGGACAATATCCTCATCGGCTGCTCTGTCCCCTGCAGTTTGAGGATGCAAGAATGCAGGCTCCATGTAGGCAGGGGCCAAACTGATCTTCCTCTTTGCCTTGTCCCTAGGGCCTGGCATGACTCCTGACCTAAGCAGGTGCTTGATGAACAAATGAATGAAGGGCCTGCTACTACTTTATCCCAGGCATTGTTTGGTCTTTGATTAAAAGCAGGCAGCATTTTAAAAAAGTAAGCGGCTGTGAATGGAGAGCCATGGCTGAAACAGGTGAAAAGGCAGAAGTGTTCTGTAGAATGTGTTCAGAGTTGAATGCTCTTAGATTAACACTTGATGAAAAATAATTGCAGTGCTACAAAGGGATGCAAATGAGACCAAGCACACTAAGGAATGATCATTATCTTTATTCATACACACTTGCTTCCAAACTACAATTAATGTACCTAACAAAGCAAATCATGCAAACAAAGATTAGAGGTCCTACAAATCGAGGAAAGCAATGCAGTAATTTACACATCCATTTCACCTGCTATATAACCAAATGTTAACTGACAGTTGAATTACCTCTATGTTCTGTCCTTAGGTGCTTATACAGGAGGAAAAACCTTAACGTCCATTTTTTTTCTCCATACAAATTTGGGGTCTTATATGATGTTTTTCAATAAATGCTTTAAAAATGGCATGGCTTTCAAAAAACAAAAACAGGTAACATGTAGGAAAACCAATTTCAAATGTTTCCGACTGTCTATAAAAGATATTCTGAAAGACCGTAATAGTAAGGATAGGAGGTAAATTTTTAGAAAATCTTTACTCAAAATAGGAACCACCTGCACGTGTAATTTTGAATAGTTCACTGAACCCTCTCAAAAAAGAATGACATTTTTCCAGAGAGAATACCAACAGGAATCTACAAACAACCCCAAGAAGAGATACTCCTAAAGTTAAGCGCAGGAGACAAAGACACAGCTTTATCAGAAAGTGCAAAGCCACCTTTGTCTTTAGGGGAAAAAAAAGGTTTTTATAAAGTGAACTGGATACCTATTTTCTGAAAAGTAGGATTCTGTCTACTCACATATGCAATAGCTATGAAACAGAAGCTAGGAGGCAAATTTTCTGCTGCTTCTAATTTCTTGGGATATTGAAGTAGTTCTGAATTGCCCGGTGGGCAAAATCCTAACAGGGCATCTCTGAATTTTCATCAAATGTGAGAGATCTGGGGATGGGTGGAGGGCTGAAAACAGCTGAGGAAGCATCCTTCTCCTCTCACCAAAAGGTGGTTACAGAGCCTCACAGAGCAAGACAAAGGGTCCCAGAGACCCTGGGAGTGCTCCTCTAGGGCTGCATCGGGGAGGGGGACAATATAGCCATCTTTCCTACAGTTTGAAAATATCTGAACCTCAGGCAATTATCCTGTCTATCAGAAACAGGAAGAACGTCACCCTGCCAAGTTCCACCGGAGCTTGCAACCCTTCTCACGTGGACGACACACTCCATCGGCTTGGCTAACTAAGTCCTGCAGTGGGAATGCAGGTCAGGGACATCCTAGCTGACCCAGGCTGTCTTCCTTCAGGCTCCACACAATTGGAATTTTACGAAATTGTCATAGCTTCATTTAAAAAACTCATTTTAAAAGAATTATTAAAGTTCTTTATAAAAAGTACAAATAGCCCTGGTATGTTTTCTCTTGGAATTAACCAATTAATTTCTTCCTTTAGGATAAAAAAGTGTCTTTGGAACTTATGGGCTTTATTGTAGGGTCATTGTAAGGCCATTTGATGTCTGTGACCTACGTGGTTGTTAACTGACAGCTGATCACACAGATGAGAGGCACAGGGGTGAGTTATGCACACTTTGAGTCCACTGAGTGCAGACACGACAGAATTAATAGGTGGCATCATTCCTGGATGTCTGCCTTCATCCACATACAACTCAGGTAACCTTTTCTAATTTTCTCAAGTTTTCTAACAGCAGAAATGTATCGTCTTACCTAGTTTGCTGCATTGGCTCAAATGGGACACGATGGGAATGTTGACAGACCAGTATATTTCATAAACTGTAGCCCAAGCAGCTCAAGAAAAATGATTTAAAAATATTTCCCAACCCTGTTGGTCAAGTTAATGTGTACACATGAATAACCAGAGTGCAATTCTCCTCCCTTATCACCATCGTGCCTGTCACTGTCCCTGTAACTGTCCTGGTCCTCACCCTTTGGGGCCTTTGGCTCAGCGTCCATTTCAAAGCAGGTTGGTGTGCTCTGGAGGGGCCAGGCACGCCTGCCCTGGCGGGGTTACAAAGAAACAAGAAACAGTCTGTGTACACACAAGAAATTGATGACTTCATGAGACCAAGGTGAGAAAATGACTGTCAGATGGTGTCACCTTCTGGAGGCTTTTAAAACCTAACACTCTCACTTTCTCTCTTCAGTACTGAGAAAACAAATTCCAGCAAAAAAGCCTCCTACTTCTGCTAAGTGGAAGCAGGTGGGAAGTGCAGTGTTTGCTGTTTTTGCGACTTCTCCATCCATCCTTGGCAGCCATAATGCTCAGCAGGAAGTCAGAGAGGAAAGGGTGGAAGCAGCTGGCCCCCAGGCCCACTAGGTGTTCTGACTGTGCCCAAAGAACTGAGAGCCATTTCAAGGAGGGGTGGAGCTTCTGGAAGCTGGTGAGGATGTTGGTGGCATGGGGCCAGGAGGAACAGGCTGTGTCCCTGGCAAAAAGCACAGTCTTGAAGACCAGCGGTGACTTGGTCTGTACCAGTGCCCCAGATGGAAAGCCACGGAGATACTGCTGCTCCTTGGCCCTTTATACAAGGGTCTCTCTGGATGCTCTCTTCTCTAGCTCCCAGCCAGTTCAGCCCCAACTCACTGTCCTTTGTCAGCATGTCAATGGGCAGCTTTCTTGGGGTCAACACCCTACTTCCAGCAAGTTCCTGTCATCTCTGCCAAGGATGTTAAGTCACAGAAGTGACCAACAATCCTTTGCTGGGTCACATTAATCTTGGTCTATGACAATCTTTCAACCAATCAACTCAGGACAAGCTTCCAGAGAGCTCTGTATACCCCCTCACCCCAGCTCTCTACCAAAATTCCTAATAAAAAGCCTAATATATCCTTTGAGAAAAGGCAGACAGCAATTCTGCAACTCAAATGAGGCCACAGGGATAAAAGAGGAGATGTAGTGAGGAGCAATCACTCTGGTTCCTGGGGTCTCTCATCCACCTGTCATATTACTTTCTGCCTGGAGGTAGGCCTCCTATTATCCCAAGGGCTGCAACTGATAGCATGCTCTGGCTCCTTCCACTCAAACCAAGCAACGGGTGACTTTGGACGCAATGCTAAAAGCAGGGCTGCCAGCTCACTGGCCTACAGCCACAGAAGTTCTGCTGCTGAGCACCAGCCACTTTCTGAGGGAAAATAACACAGAACAATTTAAATTGCCTTTTGGGGTCCAAGCCTGAAGGGTCCTGCAGAGACTCAGATGTGCTAGATTTTTGTCTACAGGGCCTGGCAATGCGGGCAGTGCTCAGGGTCAGGTACTCTCTTGAGTCCCCTTCAAGGTCCCCTCTGATGCCAGCCTCCAACACAGTTGCTGAAGTCCAAACACTAGGCCTTTCCCTGCTGTTCCACTTCATGCAAGGTCCGTAAAGTAAGAAAATGGTATTGAAATTTCCTCAGTAATTTCTGTAGATCACAGTTGTTAATGGTTATCCACATAAGTTAGTCTTTCAGCAATAACTGCCTTGGGCTGAACAGATTTTTTAAAGCATTAGCCTTTCTCTAAATTTAATACTCATTGTATAAAACAGGCTACACAATGAACACATCCTCAGGCCCTGATTTTTACCATTAATCCCTCAACCCCATCCCAGTTTGTTTTCCAGTCTGTTGTCCCTTAGGCAGAGTGCTGGCCCCAGGGTCAGGGTCCTTACTTTGAAAAACAGTCACACATTCTCTAGGAACACAAGACAGCTGAGAGGTGGAACATATTTTCTAGAGTAGCAATCATTTAAAGCTGTGTTTTGGCTGAGGGAAAGCTCAAGCCTGCTGCTTGCTTAAAATAAGCAGCAGCTGGGCACACTGGACAAATGGTCTGTAACCTGTGTTCCTTTCCAGGACTTTCCTCATCTCGTGGGGCTTGGCTGGGATCAGCCTTGTTGCTGCTCCACCTGGGGTGAGGGGACTGACTTTTGTCTCCTAGGCTCTTTCTATAAACAAATTCTTTTCCCATTAGACAAAATGGAGTGTCTTGATAAGGACATGTTCCCAGAATGTAAGCTGATCAGCAGGACTTCAGGGGTCAATGTGCAGGGACCCCTTTTGAGTTTTAAAGTCTAGAGTTCATAAAACATGGCCAAAGAAACTGCTCTTTTCTGGTCTGGCCTGTTTCCTACTCCAAGTCTCCTTCCAGGGATTTCCAGGCCTCTTATGTGAAAGTACCAGAGTAAGTGCATTATATGAACTTCAGACAAACATCCAGAGAGTAAAAATAAGGAGAGCTTAGCTGGAGATGCTTTGGGAGGAAACAGAACAGCTTTCTATAAGGACCAATAGCTTCTTTCATTCTGACTCCTTTTTTGTGCTGCAGAAAACTAGTTCTTCTCAGGACAATGCATTGGGAGGATGTCTTGCCAAAGGCATGCTCCTCGCAGATGGGGATGACCAATTCTAGCAACAGCTAGAATGAAATGTGCAGCTTCTGAAAAGAGTGTGTTGGTAACTGCAGGGACTGACATATGGTTTGTCTCACAAAGCTTGTATCTTCTGGAACAATGGTGGGTCATTTTGGGGCAGCAATACAGTCTACGTCCTTCTGGTGTGTCCAGGTACACATAGCAAGTAGGGAATTGTTCCATCCATGCTCCCCTCTAGTCCCCAACAATCACAGGCTGAAAGAACAAAACACACAGACACAGAAACACACACACACACACACACACACACACCCCTTTCAGCCCAGGTGTTGTGACAATGCCACATGTACACAAACATACCACGAAAACTGGATTCAAACACTTCTCACTGTCCCCAAAAGGAAGAGGAACTCAAATGAAAGAGGATATTAAGAAGCTAAGAGAGTCTCATCTCAAAAATAATCCCCACAAACAAAACTTTGGTTTGCAGGTGGAATCAAATATATATATATATATATATATATATATATATATATATATATAAAATCTCCTAATTAAACATGTAAAATAGCCATTCATTTTTGAAGTTAAATCTACATTACAAAATTAATATATCTGATACAGTGCCAATGTGCAGGGGGAGGGGGAAGAGAAAGCACAGCAGCAAAGGATTAAACTAAAACTTAATCATAAAAGCAGATAAACATAAACCTTCACAAATATAGCACAATTGTATCTTATAAAATTATTATAATACTCTACACTTGATACGATTATATCAATAATATAGATTCACTTGTTATTAAGGTTTATTATAAACATGCAAAATCCATTGCATGATGCATCTGCAAAACATATTAAAATCCTTCTAGCAGGAAAACATCTTTCAGCTGATAAATATCCAAGTGTCCTGTTCTACAGCTTCAGTTGTGTCATTCAACACAACTGGAAGTGGGAACCCAACCTGTATTATTTTTCATCCCTAAGTGGATGTCAAGGGCTGGAGAAGGGAGAAAAATAAATCAATAGGTACTGATGATGCTAGAGTCAACATGTTAAATTACTGTACAGTGTACTTTCATAAATGATATCGCAGCCTATTAAATAAATAAGTAAAAAAAAGGGAGTGGGGTATACACTTCAGCTTCTTAGGAAGGGTAACAAGAACAACATAGGTACCAAAATATTCATGTGTGGGGGGGAGGTTGGCTAACAACACTGGTGAGTAGTGGCATGATTACTGATGGCACCCTGGATTGAAGAATAATCTCCCAGAGATTAAAATGGACATACATACAGACTAGTTTATCCTTGATCTGAAATGATTTCACATGCTCATTTAAGAAAATCCTTAGATGATTTGGCCTCTTAAAAAGAATGTAAGTATCAAGATAGTTATCAACCAGTAGGGCAACAGATGATAGATTCACCCAACTCTCATTTGAAGTTTTCATTTTCTTTTCCTTTCTTTCTTAAACTGCTGGACTACAGTTGGGTTATACTCTTTGGGAACAGTGATTAGGTCCATTCTAGCCTTTCAGATTCTAGGATCTTTTTCCACTGAGGCAGAGAACAGAAGCAGTAGGTATCTTGAAGCCTCTCCTACCCCTAGTCCCTCTTTGCTCACTCTCTGGGCTCCTTGTTCTTTCATTCCAAAGACATCTTGGGTGGAGATGTTTCCAGTCCATTGAGTTGGAACAGTTTCATTTAATATCTCTGGTTAGGGGATCTTGATGGTGAAAATCCACAGATGGAGGATATGGAGAATATGTCAAATCGTACCAAAAAGGGGCAAGAGTCTGTTTGCTTTCTAGGAAATGTTAACCTACAGCCAGGTGTGACTTCTACATAATTAAACTGGACACTGTACATATGTCATCTTCCACTAAGACAATGTTCTTGGTTGTAAGAGAGAGACCCTGAAAAGTCAATCACATGTGAACTAATGACCCTACAAATTTCAGGCCTCCATGTGGAACAAGACACAGGCTGTGGCCTTCAAATATTAGGATTAAGGATAATTTCCCATTTCTGGGGTTGGGGGTTAGGGGATAGGGAAGCATTTGCTCTCATTGGTGAGTTTCATACTGCACTCTGCAAGATCGGGTGTACAAACTGGGGGTTGACATATGAGAACCCTTCAAAATCAGACTGGTCTATATTAGCAATGACCAGCTGATCTGGTGGCGTTAAGACAGGCTGCCCTCGTGTGAAGAACTTGTCAAAATTTTCAGCTCCTTTGCCACACTGTGGAGAAAAAAAAAGAGGGAAGTTCAGTACATATTATGAAACACAGGGAGCAGCTCTGACAGCACTCTGTGGGGAAGGGCGTGGACTGGGGAAACTGGGGCTGGTTAGGCAGGAAGATCTTGGAGGGACTGCAGGCCTACTGGAATCAGAAGCCAGGCACAGCAAACAATAGTTACTTGACTGTAAATCTTTGCATACACCCAGAATGAAAACCATAGGTGGAAATCTACTATTGGCAGTAAGGTGGCAACAAGGAGACAGCCTTTCTTATTTCACTTTCACTTCACTAAGCAAGCCAAGCTATGAGCATCGAAGTTGTACATGCAGAGCCATCAGTCATGGCACCATGTTTTAAGGCCAGGATGTTGGTTGAGGCTGCAGGCAGTTACTCTTGAACTGAGTGGGTGTGGATACTGCCCCATATCTGGTCCTTTGTAAAAATGTCTTTTATAAAGCAAAAGCGGCTTATCTTTGCCTTCCAAGTGGGACATTTTAGAAACACCAGACCCTAAACTCTCCTTAGTCAATAGGGACAAGGTATGGTGGCAAGGGTGGGAGATGTGCTCCTGGGTCCAGCAGGAATTCTGCTACAGTTGATCAGCTGGCAGACAGGGCAATGTGGTGCTCATCTGCAGGGTAGTCTCAGGCTGAAGGAGATGTACAAAGGTGCTCTGGGGAGTCTGGAGAGGCAGAGCAAAGCCTGCTGCCTGTTTTGAATATTACTCTTCCAGGATCCACCAGGATTCTGTGCACATCAGGGCTGCAAGCCAATCTGCTCTTTGGTGGTCTCTGAGAGACACAGCACACAGTTGCATAAGTAGCACTGCTGGGGAGTCTGACTCAATTTGAGGGAAGTAGGTGCCATCCTCACTTTTCCTGCCACCCAGAAGCACTGTAGTATGTCAAAATCTCCTGGCTCCAAGGGTGATTCTGAAATAAGGAGAGCTGGGCATTTCACTGGTAACTAATAATGATTTTTCAACATGTTGCAATTTACTGCTCTCTTACCTGCTGGTAGTTCTATAAAGGAAATGTGAGTTAATTCTGAGCAAATATACATTTTAGCCCAATCAGGCATTCTTGTATCTTTAATGGAGGATAGCTCTTGGTAGACTACGAAGTGGGGTCTATATGATTTACTCACCTGTAAGGTGGGGAGAATAACTGTACCTCCGTCTCTGGGTTGTTATGAAGGTTAAATGTGCAGTTTCACATAGGACCCAGCTTATGATCAGAGTACGATACATATTGCTATTTTTTTATAAGACAAGTTTAGTCTCATGGGCTGCACTTTCTCACGATCTCTTTTACCTCCTTTTCTTTTTCTTTTTTTTTTTTTTGAGACAGGGTCTCACTATGTAGTTCAGGTTGGCCTTGAACTCATTATGTAGCCCCAAATTATTACGTTGGCCTCAAACTCATGGTGATCCTCCTGCTAAGCCTCCCAAGTGCTGAGATTACACGTGTGTGCCACCATACTGAGCTCACCTCCTTTAATTTCTAAGGGTTTCTAGTTTCATTAAAGCTTTCCCATCTATGGCAAAATAAAACTCACTCCTAAGTACCTGTTGAGATATAAAGCATGTCCTAAATTCAAAGTAAGATCTTCATAAATAACAGCCTTCTTTACTGGGGTCATTTTTATTTTAATAAGCAACCATCCACCCCAAACCCAAGGAGACTTTGTACCACAGTGACTGGGGGATTTGCGTGGGGCATGGGTAGTGGGAGAGGGTTGTGTGTGCTGATGTTGTCTGAGGGCTTATCGAGTCAATCATCAGAGGCCACCCAGACTAAGAGACCTACTCATCACAGTCCTGCCTCCCACAGATGGGATAGAAAAGCTTCACTCCGAATTTCCATGATGCTTTTCTTTAGAAGAGTACAGAGCACTTCAAAGCAAAGATCAGCAGAGGCAGAGTCCACAATTCCCATACATGCATATTCCATCTTCAAGAAGCACATAAAGGCACACTGTCCCAACCCCCACCCTGCCCCGGGAATTAATCCGGGAATCTACTTGATTCATTAGTCAGACAAACAACAAACAGAAACTAGCTTCCATTGGTGCACCACATTCAGATACCGTTGTGATGATGGGAAAAGCTAAAGAAATAGCTTTCCTTTTGAAATAGCAGTGATTCGTAACCAGGGAAGATTTTCCTCCCAAGGGACTCATTTTTGATTGTCATGAGTCGGGCAACCGGTGCCACCGGCACCTAGTAGATGGAGACCAGAATGCTGCTAAACATCCGACAATGCACAGGACAGCTGCTCCCAGCAAAGATTTCTTGGCTCAAAATGTCACCAGTGCTGCTGTAGAGAAAACCTGGGACATATTTACGTGGACTGTAATGTGAGGCTGCATAGGTCCCAAGGTCAATATGAAGGCAAATGGAGGAGCCTAACAAGGAAATTGTGCAGGAACAGTTATATGTGAGAACAGAGAATGGAGAAGCTGCAGAAGCCCAAGGCAAAAGCAAAAGCAGTGTAAGCAAGTGTTATAGCCTCAGGGGAGTTGGCTTTGAGGAAAATACCCTTTTGGAAACTGATGAAACAACAATACCTACTGCCTGGATGAACTCAAGTGAATCTACTACTGGTGCTCCCAGAGGCTGGGATGTGTACTTCCTTAATAAGACATCATTTGGCTTCTCTTGATACTCACTAACCAGGCAAAGATGAACAAGAAGGAATTTCTGGGAAAAAAGCAATAAAAGAATGTGAATCCCTAAATGGAAGGACAAGGCTGGCCACAGTAAGATGTTCTCTATGCCTTGGCCAGATATATGTCTGTTTAGCTTTAGGTTTACTGATTCGTTCTGTGAAAGTACTGCACAGGTCTGACCCTTTCCTTTGAGTACCATCTTTACGGTACTCTATTCACAAATCACCTTCCAATGGGAAACTTCCAAAAGCCATAGCTTTATGCTCAAAGAAAAATAAAAAGCAACCTAAGAGGAAAGTTCTGAAAATCTAAAAAGGGTACCACATAAACATGAACACTGAGAAGGGTAAGGATGTACGCTTGAGGATATCACATTCTACAGTTTGTGTCCCAGGAAGGGTTACTCTTAAGGGGTTTCATTGCTTGTGAAGTCAAATAGTGTAGTAGGTGAAGCAAAAGCCTTCTGTGGCTAAAGTCTCAAGCCACGACCATGCTGATGACTGCAGAGCTAAGAGGAAACCATGGACCCCAGATCAATGTGATCACTGCTCTGTGATCACACTGGGTGGCAATGCAGCTATTAGCCTCAAAACTGCTCACCACTGGGAACATCCTCCTCTTCATTCTCACTGCAAATCTCTTTGGAATTTTACTCAACTAGGGGGAGGGGGCAGACTGGAGGTGGGGAGGAAGGGAGGAAAGGAGGGAAGGAGAGACAGAGAGATCACATTTTAGCAAATGAAAGTTTTTCTTAAACTGGTTCACTTAGGTGAAGAGACAGGAGCAAGCACAGGGCGAAGGCAAAGAGTGAAAAATGAGCCACTCAAGTTCAGATGCATCAGTGGTGGGACAAAAAGGGGTCATGAGTGTATCTTAGCAGGCGATAAGGAATAAAGCCCTGATAAGCTGCAGGCTGAGTCTGAAGAATGGATTGAGATCCCAGACTCACAATGACACTTTATTCTGAGGGAGATTATACCAGAAGAAAGTCTCCTTCCGCCTACAAAGGCACTGGGGGAAACACTATTTTTACCATATGTTTAGTACTGTGAAAAAACCTGCCTATTTTCCTGATAGAGTATCTTTCAATGCTTTGAAAATGAACCCTCCATACCTCTAAGCAAAATTAAGCCCAGGAAGAGATAATCTCCTTTAGGCAAAATTGGAGAAGATCTTGAACTACTTGTTTTTTAAAATGTTATGCAGAAAATTGCCATGGACCAGCACCTCTAAGGATCATAGAAGTCAGGGGTCTCTGGATCTTGGGAAAATACAAACAATACATCTAACAGGTTATTGCATTCTCAATGAAGAAAAGTCTGCCTACTACTTATGAGCTAACCTTACTGCCAACAATCAGCTTAACGGGCAGTGGGCCTCGGGTGCCATCTTAAAGCTGGGTAGAGAATAAGAAGAGGCAGAGATGAAAGGGTTAAGGCAGCACCTAGTAGAACTGTGAATGAGCAAGTGAATGAGTGACAAATGAAGCTATCACAGCTGCAGACGCCTTCCTGACACCTCAGGTAAGAAGCAGGAAGGTTATTACCATAGTCATTTGAAGCCTCCAAGGCGGTCTGTGACTCTGGCAATTTGGGTTGTCTATGGCCTCCAAGCTCTAGGCCACCTGACACACAGAGCATCTAAGGCAACCTGTGAGCAAAACCCTCGGGCTGGGTGTCTCTGGGCTTCACCCACGGAGGCTTTTGCCAGCTAGGAAGTGATATGCCACATAACTGGCATGGGACAAAAAATGGAAGGGAAGAGGGCAGGAGACAGTCCACACCTGACTGGGCCACTGTGTTAGCCCAGAGGAGGTCCTCTGGTACTCCCTGAGACCGCATGGTGTTTTGTGTTCACTGTGGAGGACTGACGCCTGATGGAAGCTGGCAGCACGAACAATGAAGGACCAGACTTAGATCACAAGGCCCAGGGTACAGCTGTGAGAAATTCACTGCATCTCTCTGTAAAGTAAAATGAAGGCAATCCACCTTTCAAAGCGGTTGTGAGGATGGAGGAATGAATGTGTGAGAGAGCGTTCTCAATGATGAGGCTGATAGAGACATAAGGTACAACATGTGTAGCAGTGTGCAAAAGCTATGTGATTAATATTTGAGGCATGAACACTACTGATAATCCATGTCCTTTTGTATAGACTGTAGAATTAACTCTTCTGTCATTTTGACATTCCTCAGCCATTTGGCAAATTCAAGAAATAAAATGAACCCAGGAGAAATCAGGCATGTTTGTAAAGATGCTGCAAAGCATGCAATGATGTGAACTCCAGGGGGAAGGTGGGATCTTAACGATCTCCACCCACACCCTGTGTGGC